CGATCAATAATAACAAGAATGTACTTGTTACCAGAGTTGGACACAGGGAATGCTCCCAGGATATCAAGGTGCAAATGATCAAGGGGTGCTCCGACTTGGTAACTTTGCAGTTTTGCTCTTATTGTTGGTCCTTTGGTTTTGCATGCACTGCAGTGTGGGCACTTCTTAACAAACAGGTGAACATCTCCCCMCCATACCATACCAATAGTAGTTTTGGCACACACGCTCCAGGGTTTTGGCTTCTTCCAGATGACCAGAGTACGGAGGGTTATGGCATGACTGTAGGACTTCTTTCTGCACATTCGCTGGAACCAATAACAGCAATGTTGGCTGTTGGTCTCCAATTCTCTCCCATGAGTAATAGAATACTCCTTGTCTCAGTGTGACCTGGGGCCAACAGAGCCAGAATTTCCTCACTGCAGGGCTTTCAAGCATTACTTCATCTTTGGTGGGAAGAGTCCCTGTTTCCTTCCATGTGTGAAGGGTGRCAAGGGCAGGATCAGCTTTCTGGRGTGTTTCCAGTTGCTCAGGACTAAGTGACTCAAGCCAGTTGACTTCTGGGCTCTCTTGCAGGTTTGCAGATGGTTGACCTACTGACTGAGTGCTATTGCCATTCATGCCACTTTGGGGCTCAATGCACCGTATTGCTAGAGGCACCACATCATCAACATCCTCTTCAAACTTGTCCCACTGCTCATGGATTCTCTGGCAATAGTTGCATCCTTTGCACGGCAGATCTGACAAATTTATTCCTGCTTGGTAACAGTCATCTTTGTCTACATTTTCTTCTGGCAGCCTTGACATGGCATCTGCATTACTGTGCAACTTACCGGCTCGATGCGCTATCTGGAAGTCATATTGGCTCAACTCTTCAAGCCAGCGAGCTAGCTGTCCTTCAGGGAATTTGAACCGGAAAAGCCAGGTAAGGCTACCATGGTCAGTCCGAAGTAGAAACTTTCTGCCTAGTAGGTAGTGGCGGAACTRACGTGTAAAACGAACGACAGCAAGTAGCTCACRACGGGTGACACAATACGTTTTTGGGCTGGCCCAAGGTGACAGCTGGCATAGGTTAAAACTCGTTCTTCTCCCCACTGAACTTGCGACAGGACAGCTCCAACACTGTTTTGAGGCATCTGTGTCGAGAATGAACCTGCCTTCAGCACGTGGATATCCCAACACAGGCACAGTGGTCAGTTTCTCTTTGAGCTTAGTAAAAGCAGATTGGTGCTCATCTSTCCACAGGAACACAGTCCCCTTTTTAAGATTATGGAGGGGGCTTGCCAGTTCTGCAAAACTTGGGACAAATTTGCAGTAGTAATTACATAGCCCAAGAAATGCTTGCAGCTCTTTCATGTTGTTGTGGGGATTCCACTGCTGTACATCTTTGACGAGATCTGGATTTGGTCTGACTCCTTCGCCACTCACAATGTGCCCGAGGAAGAGAACTTCTTCTTGAAGGAGGTGACATTTTGATGGTTTTAGCTTTAGTCCATAGCATTGGAACCTCTGAAAAACCTGCTCAAGCCGATCCAAGCTTTGGTCCACTCCATTTCCAATGACGATGACATCATCCAGGTAGATGAGAAGGGTTTCCCACTGAAGGCCTCTGAGTACGAGTTCCATAGCTCTTTGGAATGTACTTGGCACGTTACAGAGTCCAAATGGCATTCAGGTGTATTCATAAAGGCCGCATTTGGTGAYAAATGCTGTTTTTTCCCCGATCTTTGTTATCCACTKAAATCTGCCAGTAACCAGACTGAAGGTCAAGGGTAGAAAACATGGTGGCTCCACCAGCAACATCAAGGCATTCTTCAATCTGAGGTAGTGGATAAGCATCTTTGAAAGTCAAACTGTTCAATTTACAGTAGTCTACATACCATCTTACTCCTCCATCTTTTTTGCATACTAAGACCACAGGAGAGGCCCACTCGGATGCTTATGGGGTGATTACACCAGCTTCCAGCATGGCTTTAGGATGTGCTTCTTCTTCACCTTGAAATCCAAGAGGAGTTCTTCTCACAGGCTGGCGTACAGGCCTAGCAAACCCAGTGTCAAKCTTGTGTGTGACAGCAGACGTAACCAAGGTCAGAGTCATTTTTAACAAAGATGGATTGGTATGTCAATAGTAGCTGAATGAACTGCTGTTGTTGTTCCTCACTGAGAGCCTCACTTATAGTAGCAACAAGGCCTTGGAGATGCTCAAGAATGTCAGAGATCTTTATTACTCTTCCCACCACCAGTGATTGTGTACTGTTTCCTGTACAGTTAGGCACTGCATTTTGCTCTGGTCCACATAGGAGTTCAGAGTGAGCTTCAATGAGGAGTCCAAGGCATACTTCTTTTGGGAGGGATGTTGTCTTGTTTGAGAAATTGCACACCTTAATTGGCACTTTTTTTCCATAGTGACAACACTCCCAGAGGCAACATTGTTTGAGATGTTTTAAAGGCTCTAGTACAGCTGTAATCTCTGGCCTTGGGTCCTCCACTTCACCCCACACAACACATTCTGACGTGGCTGGTATCATGATGCTTTCTTCAAGAGTCACTCTAGCAACACTGTAGTCTGACCCATTATCTTGCACAATTTTTGAGGGCACAAGTTCACCTCCGATGGTTATGAAGGTTATGGTTATCACCTCGGATGGTTATTTATGTTTCTCATGTATGTAATTGGTTAGAATGAAGGATTTGTATCAGTTTAGACTATGCTGTTCCCCACCGGCAACAATTGTTACCAAGTACAAAACCTGCATTTTCACTAACACAATCAACATAAAATGAAAAAAAAAACATAAATATTATGTCTTCGGGAGGTCTAAGGAATGAATTGCATGCAGTTGTTTTGCAGGGAAAATTTTGGGATTAAATGGGTTAATGGTGGAGACGTTACTCCCTGGTTAAGGTACAGGTGAAGGACAGTTTTTTTTTTGCAAAGCGGCACAGGCTGTCTTCCTTCTTTACTGAAAAAGAGAGAGAGAGAGAGTGTGTGTGTAACAGTGCTGCTGTCCCTCCCTCCACTCTGCATTCTAAATAATTGACAGATCACCGACTAACATTTTCATCCAATCTCGTCTCGTCTGCGAAAACACACTTTTCGTCACGTCTTAGTCATCAAAGAGCTATGTTTATTTTGTTACTGTCTCGTTATCGCCATGAAAAAAGGGGGCGTCAACAAAAATATTTCGTCATCGTTAATGAAAACGACACTGATTGACAGTTGTTTTGAGCTTCTGGTCCCCCAAGTGCTGCCAGTCAGGTGCCTGGTATAAGACAAGAAGCATTGTTACAACAAAGAAATAATCTTCCAAACACTAATTTCATGTCTTTTTGTGCTTAGTTCATGTAGAATATAGACACACATATTAAGACACATACATATGTCATGAATTTAAGAGCAAAAAACAAACGTTTCACCAATAGAAGAATATTTAGG